ACACAATCTAATTGTAAAATCTGATAGTTTACTTATTTATCAAAGATCTAACAGCCAATAAATAAAAATTATCAGTTTGAATCTTGTCAGTTTTAATAAGATAATCTCAAAAGCATCCCAAATTATTATGATTTTATGAATTTTGTTGCGTGGATTTAAGTATTAGAGAGTATAAACTGCACTAACTTGTATGAATTATGAAAATGAATGCAGGCTGTTTGTAGATATCGTTAGATCTAAAATGACAAAAAATTGAGTCAGTATGTCTAGTCAAAGTGATAAATAACATTTATTATCAATTGTCATAATAATTTAATGTGTTGAAATATAATCAGGTTGTAACACAGAAGATACAGTCAAAAGATGTCCTTGCAGTTTTGTGATGATGAATGGTCGTCTGGCTGTGTCGGTGGTCATATTTACAATGGTAAGAAACTTGTTTCTGTTTTGAAGTATAGGAAAGGTTTGCATCTAGGTATCCACCACGCTAAAATACCCATTTAGTGTGTTTTAAATGTATATATATGTGTATAAAGTATGGAAACTCCATAAAAAATGGTGTTTTCTTCTGCAACATGAATTACCATTCCTGCACAAATTTATGTATAATCCTTTGGAAAAGTTTATTGTTAGTTTCTACTAATGCCACAAATTATTGGAAGTTGTAGTCTAAATGAGGCCTTTCTAGCTCACCTGGCCAAAAGGGTCAAGTGAGCTGTTCTCATCACTTGGCGTTTGTCATCATTTAACTTTTACATACATCTTCTCCTCTGAAACTACTTGGTCAAATTTAACCAAACTTGGCTACAATCATCATTGTGTTATCTAGTTAAGGTAGATCATAAGTATATACTTTTTGAGACAGAATTTTCTTATAATTTTCCAAAATGAATATTTTACTATGCTTTTTTCAAAAATATAATAAAAAGTATGGGTCACCGTGCTATTTTTCAAGCTATGAGTCGTTGAAAATTGCCTAAATTTGGTTACATTGTTCATGAAAAAACACATTTGTGTGCATAAAAAAATTCTATGAGATAGAATTTTGAAATAAATTGTGAGAAGATAGGTTTTATTATATGTTTTAAGAAAATAAAAATAAAAAATGGTGTCACCGAACTTGTTTTCTTGCTACAAGTAAAAATAAAAAATTTCCCTATTAGTCCAGTATAATTTTTTTACTAAAAGAGTTATCTCCCCTTAAATGTCTCATTTGAAAAAAATGATTCTAAAAACAAACAAAAATGATATTTGTTTAAATATTTTGAATAATACAATAAATCACCAAGTTTTCTTTATATAAATAAACAGTCTAACCATTAAATTGCAAATCTGTCTCCAAATTTGCAGATTTGGACAAATAACTAGACCGATTTTGTACTGTGATTGTACAATCCAAGATGGCGGTATACCATGAATCTACCTTAAGGTAAAATACAAATGCTGTCTATCACATCTTGATACATGTATTGCTATAAATAGAGAAATTCTGTCTAGGCTAAAATGTTTAGAATGTTGAGATGTCTATTTACATCAAAACTATCAGACTACTTTTATAGGAATTATTGCCCTTTAATGATGAATTTTACCAATTTTTTTAAAATTTTTTTATCTTCAAAACTTTGATAGATAAAGAGAAAGTTTAAAGGCAAAAATGATTAGAAAGACAAGATCTTTAAAGAAATCAACATGGCAGAAATCGTCTAACTACTTTTTATTGGAGTTATTGCCCTTTAATGGCAATTTTTACTAGTTTTTAGTGTTATTGCCTATTATCTTGAAAATTATAATTAATAAATAGACACTTTAAAGGCAAAAATGATCAGTAAGACAAGATCTACAATTAAGTGACGAAAATTGTCCAAAGAGACATTGTTGGAGTTTATGCTCTTTAATGACATTTTTTACCCATTTTAGTGTTTATGCCTATTATCTTGAAAAACTATAATAGATAGAAAGACACTTTAAAAGCAAAAATGATCAGCAAATTAAGATCTACTATACAACAGGGCACAAATAGTCACTCTACTCCTGATTGTAGTTATTGCCCTTTAATGACAATTTTTACTATTTCTTTTCATTTTTTGCCTACTTTATCTTGAAAACAATAATAGATAGATTATAGAAACTTTAAACTTCAAAATGATCAGCCAAACAAGATCTGCAATTAAGTCAAATTAAAATATTAATGTTTAGTTGCTTTTAATTAATGGAGTTTGATTAAAAAGTGGGCTCTTCTATGGTTTCATTATTTAAAAACAGCTTTATTTTCTAATTTAGTGCAGATGTACTCATCAGAAATGTCTATATACATTACATATGAGCAGTTAAATCCCTTTAAATATTTTTTGAAAAAAATCTTGCATTTGAAGTATTTTTTGGTTCTGCAACCAATCAGTAATATACCTAAAGGTGTTATCTGGGTGCACTTTGAACGATATGATTTTTTTTTTGTTCTGCAACCATTCAATTATATTCCAAGGTGTTGTTTTGGTGCACTTTTAACTCTTTGCCCTGACCCTCCTTCTCTATGCTAAATAAGTCATAAAGGTAGGTTGATGACAAGTATTACATTTACTATGATAAAAACAAATTGCAGATGTTATAATCCATTTGGGTGACTAATTCTATTTTTATTGTAATGACTACTGTGATTTACTGTGACATAATAGATAACTGTTGTTTTTATTTGTTTGTTGGACTGCATGGGAAGTCCAAATTTTCAAGCTTTTTCAAATGTAAATTTATCGGAGTGGCCGAATGCCATACAAATGGCATCATTGTTACCAGGGTAACATGATTGAATTCAGTTGATCTTGGTTGGAGTTAATTAGTATTTACTTCTTTTCTGCAAAGCACCTAACATTTAGGAGAAAGAGCAAACATATTACTTATTCAAATTTATGCATATTTATTTTATGTATGAAATAGCAAACTGCATCATTTGGCATTTACATGTTGATGGAATGCAACATCATATAATAATAATCTTTAGCAATAGCAGTAGAATGTATGATATAGAAGATTCTACAAGTGTTTCAGCAATGGGTTGTAGAATACTGATAATAGTTTTTTTTACAACAAATAGATCACATTGACCTATATTGTGCAGTTGAAGCCTCTTAATGAATACTTGCATTGTACAAAATATTTTTTTTGAAAATACCTGTTATCCTTTGTATACATTATATTCAAAATATCTCTCATTCTGCTCTGTTTTTTTTTTTGTTTTTTTTTTTTGCTTTTATTTAGTACTGTGGGATATAAAAAATAACAGAGTTAGAGATCTGTTGATTATTTTGTGATAGAAGTATTTAGTAATGGGTTTTAGTCATAATAATATAAGAATGAGGAGATGTGGTACAATTTCCAATGTGACAACTCATAATGCACCAAAGATAGTACAGTTCAAATTGTTCTAGCTCTTTGAATTTTCATATAAAAAAAACAGAGGTAAGGTGTGGCTTGGAGCTCTATGAATCATTTCCTATACAGTAATGAAATATATCACAAATTATATTTTCTCAATATTCAATTACAGAACCTTCTGAACTTTTGGGTATGATTTCCACGGTTTTGACATTTCCATATACAGTATTGTTATACCAGATAATGGTATTTACATTTTGTTTACCAAAGTTTTGTTCTTTCACATGCCAAATTATGGCTCCATAAACAATAAAGCATTATAATGGGGAACACCCACAATAGAAATTAACATCAGACACTTTGATTTTAAAAATTTGTATGCAGTCTCAGCATAATTTTAATTTGAAATTTATGTGATAATTATCCTAAGCTCAGTAACATTAACTTACTTAAAAGCAATATATGTTATATTATTATTTATTATTCAGTGACCCATTGACCATGGCCAGGGCTTGACCCCACCATACAAATGTTCATTAAAATGCATGTTGTTAAGTATGTATTAAATCATTTAGTTCTATAAATGCTATAGGTATGATAGTCTGGGATAATTTGAGAATCTCATAAACAAGTCTGAGGTGTTGGTTTTCAAATATAGTTATAATCCATTCATATATTTATTTCAGAAAATTAAATTAAAATGAAATAAAAATCTTTTTTCGTGACAGTGTGAGATAGTAATTACTTTCGCACACCTTAAAAGAATGAAAAAAGTCAAAACGACAATAGATTATTCTCTGCATAAGAAGGTTAAAGTTTCAAAAAAATTTCAACAAAGAATAAAACCATATTCAAACTTTTGATGTATAACTGTTGACAAATGCTTTTTAACTGGAAGAGTAATTAAGTTTTTTTCATAAAAAGATGAATTACCTATTTTACAGCGATTAACATCAATAAACACTTTATTGGTGTTAGTGTGAGACAGTTTAGCATTTTGCTAGGGGGAATAACTCTGCATGTTGGTCCAAGCAGCACGTGTCAACCTATTATTAGACTTAAGACAGACAGTTGGTAAAATGAGACAGAAGAAACCTACCTAGGTGAAAAGCAAAAACTATAGGTCAAAAGATTAACTAACATGACCATTGCCAAAAAGAAAAAAAAGATAACACAGACATAAGGCATCTGTCTATATAACACTAAGTTGAATAATGACTGAGCAACACGAATCTCACCAAAAACCTTTTACAATTAAATAAAAAGCAAAATATGCCAAAAGTTCATAAAAATAATATAATTTTTATAAATAAAGTATCTTGTAGTAAATTTCATAGTAAATGCATTTCCATTGACAACCCTGTACTGAGATAGATTCATTGAAACTGAAAAACTTTAAATAAATTCAATCTGTTGAAGAAATTACTTTTAATAATGAACAAATAATTTCAGAAAATAATTTAATTTACAAAATTATTCTATATATTACATAGATAAATACAAATAACTGAAAAAAGTACCAAGACATTATAGGTTCAATTAAGCTTTACAACAATAGGCAATGTTTAAAAGACAGCAATATTTGGCAAGATTTTAAAATTCAGCAATAAACATAAATTATTTTGTACAAATTCAGTGAGTGGATTCAGGTTCAAGATGACTATGATTATCTTGAAAGTGAGTATTTGCTTCATCCAAGCTGTGTGATTCATAACTACACTTGCAGCACTTTAACGGAAAAGATTTAGTATGTCTATGAATATGTGATTGAAGGTGTTCTTTCCTATGAAAGGCTTTATCGCACACAAAACAACGGTATTTCTTTTCTCCGTGAATTCTCTTGTGTCTGAAGTAAGATGATCTATTTGTAAAGGTCTTACTACATAGTTCACAAACAAACTTCCCTGATGAAGCATCTCTTGGAACTTGATTTGGCATACTTTCCGACTGTCTTTTTTTGTAACTTCTCTGCCTCTTTATTTTATTGTCATGCTGGTCCATTCCAGGAGCCCCCTGCAGCACATCATTGCTGCTATCTTCACCATACAACTCAGAATTGTTCTGCATGTAAGATTCATCTGCTATGTCATCGCCATGGTATTCAAAATGTGTTGAGATGTCCTTGTAACTTGTAGTGTCACCATCTGAACTGTAACTTTGATTGTAATCATTTCCTGTTGTAGAGGAACAGCTATACTCCTCGTCATTGTTTGGTTCTGACTTTACAACAACTGGTCTGTTATTTCCATTTACCACCATTTCATTACCAGTTTTAGACATACTGCTATGATTACCATTATCAATAAACTGATTTGGCATTGATCTGTCAACAGGTTTTGGCGTCTTCTCTCTTTCAATTTCATAATTTTTTGGACTGTTATTTTCATCTCTGACTGGTGATGCAACTTCCTGTTTAACTGACACATCCTTTAGGATTTTAGATCCGTTGTCATATTTGCTTGGCGTTATGGAATTACTATTATGATTTTGCTCAGACTGATTGTTCCGCAATGGATCATCATTCTCATTAGAATGTCTTGATGTCATTTTGCAAGCATTTTGTTTAACTCGTCTTACAGCAAATTGTTCATCGAGCTGATTTTGAGCAAAATAAAAATCAGCTAGATTTTGAGATCTTGTTGGTTCATCATACGTTTGTGTAATTTCACTATCTTTGGTGGTAATTACTGGGTAGGTTATTTCATCATTTGATGACCTTCGTCTCCTTCCACGTGACTTTGAAAGGGAAATCAATGAACTAAACTGTTGGCTCTTATATAAAGGTGCATTATCCTCAACAAATACGGCTGATTCCTGGGAAGCAGAAATATCTGTGTTTTTATTTGATAGCCTATCATCTTGTATTGCTCCAGATGGTACTTCCTGTCTTCTTGTCAGACTTGACATCACTTGGTGGTTCTGAATGTTCATACCATTATTTTTATACTTTTCTTCAAGAGATGCTGAATCCATTGTTTTATCTGAAGAATGCACTTCTCTCTCAGACAGGTCATACTTTTGGTTCCCTGTTTTGAAAACAGCTGTTCCCGAATCTCCTGCTAAAGGATTATTAATGGAGTTCTGCTTTAAATTATTAACAATACTGTGTAAAACTTTTCCTGGCTTTCTTGGTTTCCTTTGATTCTGAATTTTATTTTCACAGCTTTCTTGACTTCCAGAAACAGATACTTGTCTTTCACAGTCTTGATTTTGACCTTTCTGCTTTACAAATTTCCAGGAATCATCTGTTTTTTCGTTGGTCCCAGCATTTGTGACACTTTTCTGTTTATCATGTTGAACAAGTTCTGTATAATTTTCACTTTCTGTGTAGTCATTCGTTATATTTGGTGATCTATTCTGTTTGGGTTGTTTCCCCTGAATCGGAAAGTCATACATTTGTTCACATGAAGATTCTGACACTGGAGATGATGTATTGTGTCTACTAAATTGCCGGTACACTGTAGATTTATCTTTATCATATGCAGACTTCTTATCCAGAACCATGTATCCTAACACTTTGTATTCTGCTATTTTAAGGTCTAACCACATGATGAAATGAGAAAGAGTCCATGGCTGGACACTCCTCATCATGTCTGAAAACATTTGTTTCACATCCACCAAGTCAGCATCCATTGTCAAAGGTTATTCAGGTTACTTTCACTTTCAAATTATCACAATTTAATTATAGTATTGTACAGTAAACTTTTTTAAAGCATTAAAATTCTGTAATTTTCATAACTGTCCTATGGTTATAAACCAACCCAGAAATTTATATTATGAATATGTCACAATACTCAAAAGTATTACTATTGCCTGTAGAGAAGTACCTGAGGGTAGTAAGATAACACCTGTCTGTCTGATTATGAAATCAAACAATCACCATGAGAGAGAGTAATGCTCAAAGGCTACTGTCACACATTCAATTATTTCTAATTAGCTACAGGCAATTTAATTAGACAAACTTGAAATAAACATAATTCTCTTAATGAAATTACTTTTGATAAAGAACACATGATTCCAGAAAATATTAACCAAATTATTCAACTTACAGAAAGAAATATGACCACTGGTAAAATATTACAAAAATATTTCTAAAAACCTGCAAGGAAAGATGCCCCCATGAGACAGTAGTCATTTTCACACACCATAATTATATTTGAAAATTGTAAAAAAAAAATCACACACAAGAGATTATTCTCTGTATGGGAAGGTTAAAGTTTCACAAAATTTTAAACAATGATTATGAATAAAACCATATTCAAACTTTTGATGTTTAACTGTTGACAAACACTATTTTACTGAGAGAGTAATTATTTTTTTTATATAAAAAGATGAATTACCTATCACACAGAGATTAACACCAATAAACACTTTATTGTCAATTGATTTCAATGCATGAATATGTAATTATAGTATTAATATATTGTTTAGTGTTTTGAAGTGATTCTTACAGAGATGTTTGAAAGTTATCTAGTTTCACTGCTGTATTGTGAAGTTTTTGCTCACCTGGTGATAGGCAATACGAGCTACTACCTTCTTTCTCTCTCTACTTGAAGTAAAAAAAAAATTTTTTGATAATTTTATTCATACAATATTTAACAGAGATTACCAAAGGTCTACTATCAACACCAAATCCCTTAATGGACAAACAGCATTTAATTTTAAACAAAGACAATAGCTGGTGACGTCAGACTTGGAATAGGCCAGTTAAATGTGTCAGGGTTTAATAGTTTTGTAATTTGTGAAAAAAACAGAAGGTACAGAGAAATTACCTACAATAAAAATCAGTTCAGGAAATTAAAAGCACTAGTAAAAGACAACATGTAAAATGAATTAATATTTTACCAAAGAATGCTTACATTTACTGAAAGCTGTTGCAAAGTACTTAACCTATTATAGAAATCATCCCTACTTACACACTGATAAGTAAAGTTTTGTGTTTTTTGAATGACCCTCCCTTCTTTTTGCCTAAAGCCTAGATGTCCTCTCAAGGCCATTTTTTTGGAAAATCATGGTTCCACCACAATTGTGCTATTCTTTTCTTTTTTCATCATAGATTATTTTTTGTTTGAAAGCTTTTTTTCCAGATAGTTCTAAATGAAAAATAAAAGGAGACATTCAGAATATATAATAATAATGATAACTGATCTACAACCACCCATTAACACAACACAATGTTAAGTGACCTACTGCAACCCAACAACACAACACCTTGTAAAGTGACCTACTGCAACCGAACAACACAACACCTTGTAAAGTGACCTACAGCAAACCAACAACAAAACACAATGATAACTGACCTACAACCACCAATTAACACAACACAATGTTAAGTGACCTACTGCAATTCAACAACACAACACCTTGTTAATTGACCTACAGCAATCCATCAACACAACACTGTGTTTAATGACCTACAGTAATCCAACAACACAACACAATGTTCAGTGACCTTCAGCAACCTAACAACACAACACATTTTTAAGTGACTTACAGCAACCAATTGAACAACACACCATCATTTAAGTTTCCTATAGCAACAAAAATCCAATGCAACCTCATGTTAAATGACTTACAGCAACCCTACAACACAACACATTTTTAAGTGACTTACAGCAACCCATTGAACAACACACCATCATGTTAAGTTTCCTACAGCAACACATTGAACAACACGACACAATGTTAAGTTTCCTACAGCAACCCACAACACAACATCATGTGAAGTGACCTACTGCTGCCCAACAACGAAACTCCATGCTAAAAGACCTACAGCAACCTAACAACACAACACCATGTTAAGTGACCTACAGCAAACCAACAATACATCACATTTGTAAGTGATCTACAGCAACCAAACAACACAACTTCATGTTAAATGATCTACAGCAAACCAACAACACAACACAATGTTAAGTGACCTTCAATAATCTAACAATGCAACCTTATATGACATGACCTACAGCAACCCAACAATGCATCATCATGTTAAAGAACCTACAGCAACCCAACAACACAACACCATGTTAAGTGACCTATAGCAACCCACAACAGGACATCATGTGAAGTGACCTACTGCTGCCCAACAACGAAACTCCATGCTAAAAGACGTACAGCAACCTAACAACACAACACCATATTAAGTGACCTACAGTTAACCAACAACACAACACAATGTTAAGTGACATTCAATAACCTAAAAATGCAACCTCATATGAAATGACCTACAGCAACCCAACAATGCAACATCATGTTAAATAACCTACAGCAACCCAACAACATAACACCATGTTAACTGACTAGGAGCAAGCCAACAACACAACACAATGTTAACTGACCTTTGGCCACTCAACATCAAGCTGATACATTCTCATTCATTTTCAGAATTTTCTTGTAAGATAATGATTTATCTTACAGGTGAGCAATCCAGTTACTATATTTCTGAGAGAAAATTTTCATTATAAGTGATATTTTATGGTCAGAGAGAACTGTACAGTATGACATAAACCATCATATCTGTGCATGTGGGGGTCTTATCATTGTCTAGGTGAGGGAATGATTAACAATGTTTAATTAATATCAGATATTGCACATAATATCCCTTTTATGGGAATCTGAGATGAAAATGACCTGTTCCATCTACTCATTTAGATTTATGATAATTGAAATATGAGCAGATTGATAAGTTTTTAACTACCTGATATTGTAATAAGATTTTGAGCTACAGAAACCCAATCATTAAAACTAATTTTCATCTTTTATTCAGAATATTTCTGTATGAAACATAGTAATAGATACATGTATCCAGTAGTACATGTTATCATTAGAATAGCTTTTACTATGAGATCATTTTGTATTTCAGTGTGTACAGGAAATTTCCTGGCATTCAAAAGTTTAAAATCTCTAGGACCAATTTCAAGACAGAACTTTTAAACCCACACCTCGAATGAAGGTGTGGGTATAATGTAATGTACATGTCCATCCTTTTTTCTGTTTAAAATTCATCTATCCATCACAATTTCAAGATGATAACTAAGAAATTGCATAAAAAGAGCTGCATCGGATATAAATTGACCTTATGCAAGTGCACGTATAATATATAATAGATGAATTTTGGTCTTGTTTCGTAGGGTTCTTATATCAACTTAACTTCTAAACTGTTACAGACTTTGCATAGAGATTTTCTCAACCCAGATGTATTGATATTCATTTGCATAAGGTCGATTTCTATCCAACGCAGATCAAAAGATGATATGGTGTATACAGATTCATTATACATGAATAGGAAAACAGGTGATTGATTGATTGGTGTTTGCTTTATGTACAACAGTATTAAAAGGTCCTGGAACTTGGACCTACACCATTTTGAACCTTATAATAATATATCTATTAATAAATTATTTCTAGACTAATTCTAATCTATTTGTAAATTGGATGTATCGACATATGAGATATACTATTGTATTTTTTTAATGACTTTTATGTTAATCATGTATGTTTTTACAACGATGACCTCCGTTTGTCCTCACCATCCAGTATGTCATTCTGTCATTCATTATAGAATGGCCATTGAAACATTTGATGAGATTCATCAATAAACTTCGATGGGAAAATATATCTGGTAATCAAATATAGATTTCTGTCATATGGTCAATCATTGATAAAATTGTACAAATAAGGAATTTTACAGATAATTGAACATTCACAAAAAAAACTATCGTGCAGCAGTACTTAATTGATAACCGCAGACAAAAAGACATGGGCATTGCACAGTATTACACTTCCGAAAACAAATGATGCACAAATACAACACATGTCAAAATATGCATGATTTATTATTTAACATCATAATAAAAAGACATTTACATTATACAATAGAACCTTTACTATTGTGTAAGGTTAATCATAGAAATCTGAATAATGTCATTAGCAGTTACATGTTTTAATTAAGTTGCTATAAAAGTCATAAATGACACTTTGACTGACTTTGATAAGCCTTTGATCTGATTGGTGCAGTAATAGTTTGTTAACTCGTTTAGTGCAGTGCTGAAACACAAAATTTTCTGAGCTTTTTTCAGGAAATTTATTGGCAAGATATTTATAAAATTTTAAAAATTGCATATTTTTTCTAATAAAAAAAGAAACATCACAAAAAAATCACACTTGTACAGCATAGTACAAAACATTTGAATGATATGTAATTGATTAAAAGTCAAAAAGTTAAGTCAATCTAAACTGTAGACTAACAGGTAACATTTCCTTCTGTCATAAAATATATGAACTATTGGGTTGCACTTATTATCCCTGTCTTCAGTTAATATACACCAAAGATATATATCAAAGGATCGCGATATCTCCAATGCCTACGCCTAATTTTCTATAAATGTTTTTTTTTAGGTAATTTTGTTCCTTATGACATTGGTAAACACAAGCTTTTAACTCTGGAGTGACTATAAAGTTATGAAACTTTGTTCAGGGTGTTAAGTTTTGCATCCAGTTTTACATCTCAAATGTTATATTAAAGTTTGATTATCTGAACATGCATGTAGGTTCATCTTTAAGAAAGGGCTTTGGTAGCAGACTGGTCGAATTAGTCCAACTAATGTATCACTAGCCTGTCAACACTAAGTTTG